CAGAGATGTGAGTGGGGGGGTGTGTGTGTGTGTGTGTGTGTGTGTGTGTGTGTGTGTGTGTGTGTGTGTGTGTGTGTGTGTGTGTGTGTGTGTGTGTGTGTGTGACTATCATTGTTGTACTAAACAAAACTGTCTTCATGATACTCTTAATTGCTTCCAATAACATTAGCAATCATGTGCTGTCATTGCAGTTCCCTGTTGCCGTTCAGCATCGAGAGCCTGCGGAGGCCCAGGCCTTCAGAGTCTCCTGACTCAAAGAGGAGACGCATTCACAGGTGTGAGTTTGAGGGCTGCAATAAGGTTTACACCAAGAGCTCTCATCTTAAAGCCCACAGACGCACACACACAGGTGAGTCAGCCTACATTTCCATCAGGTCAAGTTTTGAAAAACGTTCTGTTCCTGTCAAGTACTTTATTTATTTACTTTCTCTATATGTGTTTTTCTCTCTCTCTCTCAGGTGAGAAGCCATACAAGTGTACGTGGGATAACTGCACATGGAAGTTCGCTCGCTCTGACGAGCTGACACGACATTACCGCAAACACACCGGCGTCAAACCGTTCAAATGCAGCGACTGTGACCGCAGCTTCTCCCGCTCGGACCACCTCGCCCTCCACCGTCGCAGACATGCCCCACAAACATGCATAGTGTGAAAAAGACATTTGATAGACTATAAGCAGACAGAGCAGGTCTCTATCTGCCAGTGTCGCATGCAGAAGGTCTGGAATTACTCCTCGCACAACAAAGAGGTGAAAGACATGGGGATTTGACAGGAATGAGAGTCCATGTTGAAGATGAGGTCCATGTATTATGAGATTCATCTACATTTATCTACATTTCCGTCGTATGGTTTGTCTTCTGCACTTTTATGTGAGGCTTATTCATAAAGGTGGAAGCCACAGAGTACTAACTATTGAAAAGCCATGTGCTGTTAAAGGTGCTGTATACGATTTTTACACATAAATACTATAGAATCAGCAAGCAACTATTTGCTATGTAATGATATTATAGTGTAGGAACAACATCCTAAGCAGAGAGTAAAGTCAGAACCCATCTGTTTGTGTAATTCGAGCCTTTCTGTTACTGTTAGCCCTCCTTGCATTTATAATAAGATAGTATGGAGCATTCCCACATGCCATGTTTCTATATTAGCTAGTCACTTGACATTGTTTACAAAGGCCAAAGGTATCTCAGTTATCTCTCATTATATATGAAGAGATGCCATGTATTTATGTTCAGTTATTTCACTTTAATGGCAATGAAAAGAACCTATTCATTGCCATTAAAGTGAAATTACTAAACCTACACATGAGAGCCTGAGAAAAATACTCATTTTATAAGAACATTTCAGATGGCACTTAGAGGCTTTAAAGGTGGGGTAAGTGATTTCTGGTAGCCAATGTTGACATTTGAAATGACCAAAACAACCACGCCCCTACCCCAAAAGGGTCTCGCCCTATTTTGATAGCTCCGCCCCACACATACGTACGCAACCCAGGCAACGATTAGTTCTGTGAAACAAAGCAAAACCAATGTTACACCGTGTATACACCGGACACCAGTGGCACGGCGCGACAAAATACTATAGAACTCATTATAATCAGTGATGCTGTCTACACCATAGATATATATACATATCTATGGTCTACACTGGATGTGGCGCGGCATGAAAATTCCCCGACAGAAAACTGCTGCTGCGTTCTATTTATGACGTATTGACACAAATTTCAAATGATTTTCAATGGTCGCTTTGTCGTGTCCAGTGTACTAGACAGACTTTAGCTGTTGCGGCGCAGACACAGTGTTACTCACCTATCGAGAAGAAACAAAGCAACCTCGGCGTCCGATAGATCGCAGGCATTCCGCTCATTGAGTTCTCTCCAGAGCTGGAAAGCTGATCCGATAGTTACACGGGTCCTACATCTTGCCTTCTTGCCTTAAGCCTTCTTTTGTTCCGCAGACGTTTTCCTCATTTGTTTTTTATCTCTATATTTCTGTCGCTCGGCTCGCTAATGTCCGTCCTGTGCACTGAACGTTCTCTCCTCCACATCATGAGTAGACACGCCCCTTACTGCTGATTGGCTACAAATTTGTTTTGCTAGTCGGCCCGAATCAGTTTTCTAAAGCATTTTTGAAAAACGGCTTACCCCACCTTTAAGTGAAATAAGTCAATCTAGTGGTTGAAAATCGTATATAGCACCTTTAAACATATTTGATTCTCCAAACCTTCAGGTTTCTTTCAGGATTACTTATGGAAGCCTTATGGAATTGCATATCACAATAGTCTCAAAATATTTAGAATTCATTTTGTAATACTTATTTTTGTCTAAAAAAGCATTGCAGAGGATCCTAAATCTGTTCAGTGCTAGCTTTGGTAATGCATTTAGCAAATAAAAGTCACTTTGGGGAAAAAAATGTAATTTACAATTTGCAGGGTAATAATGGCATGGCTGTCATTGTGTAGAACTAAGTACAAACTTGTTTCAGTTAAAAAGACATGCACCCACAAACACAAAACAAAGAAAATAAGACAAACAAACATAAAACATGACATTATCACAATGCATTTACTGAAAGTTCACATTCTAGCTTCAAAATCTGCATGGGCTCCAGTTATCACATTATTGTGGAATCTGAAATAGTTTTTTTTTATATATATATATAACTGAATGTGAGGAGATAGCCGTATCATTGATGTAGTGTTCTGTCCTCTCAGGACTCAGTCGTATGAGGGAGACATTCTCTCACACCGTTTTAAATTTTCCTTGCATCATTTGTGCACAAAACTAGTGTAGCAGATGTCTGTATATGTTATAGTCTTTACCATGTGGTATATAATTTTTGTTCGTTTGTATTGTATGTCATATATTTGTTCTGTATTCCGAGATTTGCACCCTTCTGTCCATAAATATGTGATGCCAAAATTTATAGTATTTTACAGGGAACCCAGTGACTAAAAATGATCGTCAAATGGGCATTCCTTTTATTTTTAATTTTTTTCTCTTCTACAATGATGTATCTGTAAATTATGTTATAGTAAACATTTCAGTTTTATATGGATTTAACTGTGAATTTATACATAAATACAGTATATGTTAGAAAAAAGGCATGAATAAAAGCACAGATTTGTATGTACAGAAAAGACTTGTGTGACTTTAAAGACCATTCAAAGGCCCAAATGCATATTCCTTATGAGTTTACGAGATTAAGTGATAATCTTAGACAGAACAGAATACAAAAGAGAAATTATAACAGATCAAATGGATAGATTTATTTATTTGTAATTCTGGTAGATACTGGAACTAAAGCTACACTATATGGCAAAATGCATGTTTCTTAATTGACATACATTTAGAAGAGTAATATATATATATTGCAAACATTTAATTATATTATAGTAGATGTTTTGTAAATATGTATTTTACACATATTTTTGAAAGCTCATAAAAGCATTCATTTGTCTTCTTTTTTATCGCATAGTTTACATGCCAGCTGAGCATCGTGGTTTCCTTAAGCCTCAGGACTTTCTTAGACAACACAGGAGCCACAGTATATGTAATATTTTGCACTTTGATATTTTACAATAATATAAAAGTATTATTTATTTTATTATAACATAGACCTATTTATACTTGGAGGTTTTTCTTGCATTCCGCCAGTTAAGCTTCAGTACATTTTTAATAAACAATGTAGGCTACTTCTTCAATTCACCACAAGGTTGCAGTAGTATGCCATTGTTAACAGACTCCTTGTCATCAGTTCAGACACAGCTGTCCTAAACTGGACTTAATCATGCAGGTCAGTTCATGACACTCGATTTAACCTTTAACCCACCTTTACCCAGACTATACCGAATATTTTAACGAAATGCCATTAGTTTTCTTTGAGTGTTGTCAGTATAGGCCTATGTTAAGTAATCATGAAATACCTTTTTGTTTCCTTTATTATTAGTGCAGACGCTTGGGCCAAATCACCCTGGGGTTATATATTTGCATAAACTATTCTAATTAGAGATTAAAACATGTTCCAGGTTCTGTTTGTGTGTACACCTCAACAAAATTTAGAATCAATATGATAAATATCTTAGTAAAACCTCATTTTGTGATAATGGTTATTCATAAACTACTATAGTTTGAGGTTTGTTTGTTTTTTATTAATTAAATATTAAATGTGTCAAAAATAGGTTACATAAGAAATATAGGCTAGATTTGGCTAGATTTTAGTGGACAACGACTGTGATAACTACCCCTTATTAAAAAAAAGAAGAAGAAATCTTTAATCATTCTGTTTGGTTTAGATATATCACGAAATCTAATAAAAATTTTCAGTTTTGCTTAATGGCACAGTGAACTTTATTGACAATAGAACAGTCATGTGGCATTTATCTAATAGAATGCTTAAAATCTAATTTACTTTAAAAAAAAACTTTTGCAAAACTGAAGTCTGTTTCTGTAGTAATACTGTTGTAATATATCATAGACATATGTGGTAAACTTTATTTAGAAGGGTGTTTTTGTGTTTGTTTTCCTGTGGTATGTTAGAGATGACCTTTAAATGTTGATTTAAAACTGGTTTCACAGATTGTTTTATTTTTCTCTATGATTTGAATGGAATTCCAGCTGGCCGATGACTTTCCTGATATGTAGCATTGATTTTACTGTATGTTGCAATGATTTGTTATTATTTTAGCTCTTTTTGAAAAGAAAATGGAGACATATTAATGCATAACAACACCTAATAAAAGCAAGGCCTACTTCATGACTTCAGTTTTATATTCAAAAGCTATAAGGCCATGTCACACTTCCACAGCCGTCAGTAGGACAGGCGTACACACTGAGTGTGTTTGTGTTGGTTGGAAATAGATCCTGCATGCCTCAATCAGTCATCTCCCTCTGATCTGAGAGGATGAGAAACACCTTATGAAAATATTGTTTATCTGACAGTAAAAACAGCAGTAAGGCTTGTTGTTCCCCTTTCCTCTGCCTCATAATCCAAACAAAAGAATCTCTGTCATAACACAACCGCTGAGCACTCTTCAAAACAGAAAGAGAGAGAGAGATTGAGCATGTACGGAAAAAAAAGACATAGGCAGGATGTTCGTATTTTAGTTGGCACATGCTTTGCTCACTTGTCTTGCTTTTGCTCTTGCTTTTTTCAGCTTTATCTCTTTAGAAGAAAAAAAAATTATAATTTTAGATCTTGACGAATCTTGACTTTGTCTATGCCTCCGAAAAATTGTGCACCAGTGATCAAAAGGTGCTCATACGTAAGTCACATTACAAAAAAACAACCGATGCCAACGCCATATGACTCGCAGAAGCAAACGCACGAGGTTCAGCGAAGCATTTGCAGGTTTGAGCAAGAATCCGGTGTCCGTGTAAATCTGTAGTGCAACGCTACAGGTTTCACAACAGACCCCAGGGCATTAGAAGAGTGCCAAGTGAACAAAATGGGATTGCAGTACTTGCACTGCAGGCTGCCAGACTCCACAAAGTCTCTGTCATGTTTTAGTCACAATTATACTGGTGCCATTGCAGCAAAATTACACCCAGAGGTTCAAAGGCTAAACTGATAATTGTAAAGGTGTGCTTTTTTATAACCACCCTATGAGTCATTCTTTGTTATGCACAATGCTGGTGCATGAACAAACTTGAAGGTTTTATCGAGAAAGAGAGAGAGAGAGAGAGAGAGAGAGAGAGAGAGAGAGAGAGAGAGTGAGTAAATGTTTGCATGGTGCCTCAAAGAATGTTTTTGAAGTCAAAGTTATTTCATATTCTGAAGTTTTCTGCCCTATCAAAGGCCTTTAGAACCCTATTATACACAATAGTCTGATGTGTTGAACAGTGAAAGCCTGCACGCTAATTTACAGTGAGCCTAAATAGTGGTGAAACGACACATAAGGAGACAATGCGATTTTTTTAACTGCAGTGTCACAAGCTTTTCTGGTCTCTGGCATTCGGCAAACCAACCCTGTAACTGACTCCTGTAATCACGGCGTAAAATTTGGAGTGAAACCATTTATGACCAGTAAAAGAATTCTCTTAGAGATTGTGACATAATGTTCCGAAGCCACTGGCTTCTGGGTAACCGCTGAGCAGTTAAACAAATGCAGTCACATAATTGTTTACTTCCCATTTACTCCCAATACAGGCAGTTCTGAGGCTGCATTTATAATACAGCTAATTGAGCTTGGGGGATGGGAGTTCTGGTAAATATTTGCCAATTCCTCTTTGTGTCAGGAACATAAAGTCATATTTGTCTGAGGAAGCTGCTGTTATTCTGGCTTTTTAATCGTAGAGTGTTCACATTTGCTGTGTTGTGAGATTTTGGAGCAGCTCTAATGGAAAGCCGTCAGTGTAATGATCTGCAGCAAATGGTAGTGACAAGGTGAGGAAATGAGAAGGGTGGTTGTGTCTGGAGACTAT